TTTCCTAAAGGTACGGCACCTGCTCCCCAGAGGCCCCCTTTGCATGCTACTTTTCATGGCGCTCTTAACTCCTCCAAGCCGGGGGGGACTCACCAGCACTGGGGTGGGGTGGGTGCCAGGACAACACTCCTGAGCGCAGGAAGTGAAGGGCCAGGGCACATCCCACAGTGGCAGCTGTGGCTGAGTTTGCCGCCAACGCAGGGAGAAGTTTGAGTGGGGTCATGACATCCTGCTTTCTATTTACACCAAGTCACAAGTCACACTCCAGGACTTACGGGGGAGGGGCGGAGAAGAGCACTGCTACCTGCTGCCGAAGACCCTACCGGAGTAGACGGAATAACGGGACCCCAGAGGCCCCCTCCTGAACTCCGGAACCTGAGAGTGTTTTACCTGCACAAGGGACTTTGCAGATGTGATTACGTTAAAAATCTTGATATGGGGAGACTATCCTGGATTAGCCCGGTGGCCCCCGTGTAATCATAAGTCCTTATAAGAGGGAGACAGGAGGGTCTGAGTCCCTGAAGGAGATATGACTGCAGAGGCAGAGGTTGGAGCGACATGGGGCCACGAGCCAGGGAACGTGCGTGTCCTCTAGACACTGCAGAAGGCCAGGAAGTGGATTCTCCCCTAGAACACAGCCTGCCACCCCTTGATTTTTAGCCTATTGTGACCCGTTTTAGACTCCAGACCCCCCAGAACTATGAGAGAATGAACTTGTGTCAAGCCACTAAATTTGTGGTAATTTTCTACAGCAGTAATAAGAAACTAATACAAATGTTCAAAATGGGCTACTAACGCACAGGTGCAGAGACGGGAATTATTACTATTACAGGTGATAATGGCCATTTACTGAGAGCACACTGTGGGCCTGGCCCTGCGCTAAACTCTTTCCCTGCAGCATCTCCCTGACTCCTCATGACAGCCTGAGAGGTTAGCTCTTCTATTCTCCCCACTTCCCGGATGAGAAGACTGTGGCATCCAGAGGTTAAATTACTTGCCCAAGGTCCCAATGGTCTGTGGCAGAGTTGAGACCTGAACGCAGGTCATTGGCTGGGTTGTTCTTAACCATTCTGTGACATGGTTTCTTGCTAAGAAAAAAAACTTGACTGTTCGGTGAAAGAAACAATAAGCGAATGGGCAGGGCCTTGAAGTGGATTTGGGTGGGCAGAGTGAGGGCGGATGGTATTATAGGAGGGGGACAGCCAAGTAAAGGGGTGATGGCTTAGGAGTCTCCCCCAGGCAGCTTTGTGTCCCCTCTGTGGTGACTGACACAGCTCTGGCCTTACCTGGTGCTCAAGAGGCCAGGGCCGCCTTCTCCCTCACAGGCACCCGCCCCTGCCCCTCCGTCCTTCAGAGGCAGAGCTTCCTAACCTTCTTCACATCCCGGGGCATGGAGACGTTGATGACATTGGTACATGACACTGGGGCAAACTGAGGGGATTTGGAGACATCTTCATAGAGCCTGGCAGAAAAAAACAATTACATCTTCTTTATCTTATATAATTATGATAAGAAAGATGTAGTACAAAGCATTAGGAAAGATATTAAATACCGAATTGGTATAAAACATCCAGATGAAATCTCCCAGACTTCTCAAAATGAGAAACTTGAGCTTGCTTCCGTGAGCACAACTTTTTAACATCAGATTTTTTGCATGAAATGACCACAGCAATTCCTAGTCAAGGCTTTTTTTTTAATTGAGATATAATTGACATATAACATTGTATCAGTTTCAGGTGCATGACATTGTGAATCTATATATGTATATATTGCAAGATGATCACCACAATAAGTCTAGTTAACATCCACCACCACACATAGTTACCATTTTTTTCTTGTGAAGAGAACTTTTAAGATTACTCTCTTAGCAACTTTCAAATATACAAACAGTATTGTTAACCAGGGTCATCGTGCTGTACATTACATCCCCAGGAGTTGTTTATTTTATAACTGGAAGCTTGTAACTTTTCATCCCCTTCACTCATTTCGCCCACCCTCCACCCCTCAAGGCTCTTTAGTGATGATCTCTTCAAATGTGTGATCAACACCACCCACAAAAATCTTGGCCTAATGGGCTGGTCCCGTGGCTTAGCGGTTAAGTGCATGCGCTCCACTACTGGCAGCCCGGGTTCAGATCCCGGGCACGCACTGACGCACCATTTCTCTGGCTATGCTGAGGCTGCGTCCCACATACAGCAACTAAAAGGATGTGCAACTATAACATAAAACTATCCACTGGGGCTTTGGGAAAAAAAAAAATCTTGGCCCAAGGAAGTGATAAATTTAAAACTAATTTTTACAACCATTCAAAAATTTACAGCAGTTTGAATGATATGTAAAGACTCTGACACTCATCATTTCCTTTCAATAACTGTAACCAAAATTCTTGTGAGAATGAGAAGAATGTGTTTAGAATCCAATCAATTTGTTTTATATCAAGCATTTTAAAATAATGTCAAAGTTAGGATTTGCAGAGTGTATACGTGGTTAGAGCAGGCCCCCTGCAGCCAGCTTGGGTGCCACTAAAAGGGCCATCAGCGACAAACAGGGAGCCGCGTCCCCTATAGAAGACAGAGATTCCAGGCGGCCTCCAGAGCCACACTCCTCCTGGGTTCCTGGGCTCCTGCACCACCCCACCCCACTGCTCCACACCTGGGGCTGTGTGTCAGGCTCTGCCAGCAGCTCAAAACCCTTGTCAGCCATGCACATAGACACTGCAGTAAATGTCCAGAGCAGACAACTCCTTGGCTGGATCTCCCTCATCCTGCTCTCCACCTGTGGGTGCCCCTCTGCGGAGTCCCCAGCAAGGGTCCTCTAGAGGCCTAAGGGCTTCAGCCTTCAGGGCTTCAGTTGCCCCAGGCCCAGCCTGAGGGCCAAGGGTAGTGACATCCTTCTCCACCTATAACCTATTTGTGACACGCTAGTGTTTCCACCCAGAGTAGTAGAACAGGAGAACCTGATTCAGCTGGAGGAGAAAGGCCAGAAAACACTTCCCTACCTCCTCCTCCACTCCCCTACTCCCATCTAGCCTGGGTTCAAATCCCACTTCTCCAACTACAAGCTGTGTATCTGATGCTAGCTCTGATATCTGTTCCCCGACATTAAACCCAGCATATATGGAGTTAAAACCAAAAGCACCCATCCCCTTTCCCTGCTTCTCTAGTTCTAATTATGGGTTCTTGAAGTTTATTACAGGGAAACTGATATGCAGAGAATATCAAGAAACTGAAGCTTTCCAGACCCCAACTCCTTGGCTTCCTGACACCAGAATCCACTATCCACCACGGAGGCAGACAACCAAGGACACCCACCTATGGATTCCCTTATCTCGCCATCCCCCACCCTGCAAGCAGCTTCACAAGGCTAAACGCAGGCGGGTGGGAAGGCGCCAACCAGCAAGGCCACGGGCTTCCCCTCTCTACAAGCAGCCACATTCCTTACAACCTTTAAAAACCCTTGCCTCACATCTTCCGAGGAGACAAGTTTGAGGGCTTACTCTCATCTCCCAGCTGACGTCACCCAAAATAAACCCCTTTCCTTGCCATAAGCCTGGCATTCCAGTTATTTTGGCCCCTCTTGTGTGGTGGGTAAAAGAGCCTGTGTTTGTAGCCGGTTAACATAACCTCTAGCTAGTAACTTAACCTCTCTGAGCCTCAGTCCCCACCTCTGTAAAATGGGGATAATGGCACCTATCCCATAGGTTGTAGGAAGTTTACACGAGGTGATGCATGTAGAGCGCTGGTGTAGGGCCTGACCCAGGGGAAGCCCCGGTCAGTGCCAGTTCTTGTCGGTCATACAGAGACACAGAGACACAAGATCACTCATGCAGTCACACGAACACATGCAGATACACAGACACTGAAGCCCAAAGCCACAGCGAGCTCACAGGGGCACACACAGGATGCACTGATCTGAGGACCCGCTAGAGCCGCCCTTTCCAGGCTCTCGCTCTGCTTCAGTCCCAGGCCCACCCGCTCACCCCAGACAGGAGCGATCTGGTTGGAGCTGGGTCTGACCTGCTCTTCTGGGAAAGCTGGCAGCATCAAAGGGCGCCGGTTAAGCTCCTCCCCACTTTGACATGCCGATGGAGGGGCCCTGGCCTGGTTCCCACAGACACTCTGGAGGCCCGAGCTCCAGGCATGAAAGCCCACTGCCCCACCCTTCATTTTTGTTTTGTTTTTTGTTTGTTTTTTTTGGTTTTTTTCCACCCTTCATTTTTTTTTTCTCTGGGAGTAGAGGTAGGAGGTGGAGCCAGGAAAGGATTTGTCATCCACAATCCACAAACACACTGACGCACCCACAGAGACACAAGTGGACCAGACCAAAATGTACCTGCATTATGCTCACAGGCTGCAGCTCCCTGCCTGGCAGGAGGAGACGTGGCAACCTCCCAAATCCAAATCCTCTGACTCCAACTTCAGGGCTTTTTACTCCATGCCATGCCGCAGTAGCACTATCTCCACCACCACCACCACCACCACCCCCACTGTGACCAATATCACCACCATCACCATCATTATTGCCATCATCACCACCATCACCACCACCACCACCATCACCATCACCATCACCAACATCAGCACCACCCCTACCACCAACATTGCCATCACCATCACCAGCAGCACCAGCAGCGCCTTCATCTCCATCACTGCCATCAGCACCTCTATCACCTTCACCTCCAGCAGCATCATTCCCTCCACCATTATCACCCCCATTACAGCCGCCACCATCACTGCCATCACTTCATCATCATACCATCTGAACTGATGGAGGAGACCTCTTGAACCCTGATACAACGTGGAGGAAAGACCTAATGGGAAGGGCAGAAGGAGGGCGACATTCTTCCTAGGAGCCCAGAGGACACGGTCCAGAAGCTCAGGCCTCTGCAGCAACCCTAGGTTCTCCTAAACTCCAGCCCTGCTGGAGACAGTGTCTTACAACTGCGTCTGAGCCTCCTTGCCCTCTCCTTCCCCTCCCTGCCACCCTCCCTCCCTCCCACACCCACAGAAAACCGGTCCCCATCAGGTGCAGCTTTCATGGCTTCCCAGTGCCAGAGGCGGCTGTGGAGAGAAACCCGGGAAGCGTGGGGAGGGGTGGGGCAGCACCCTGGCTGTACCCACGGGATTGGCCAACCTGCACCCTCTCAGCCAGCACCTGACTAGAAGTTGCTCAAAGAGACAATGACCTCAGCCACCACCCTGAGCTCTGCCCATCTCAGCCATGAGGTGGGCACCCAGTGTGCGGAGTGGGCCGCAGGGACCATCCTTGAGGCAGTGGTGAGGTGGGAGGAGGCCACCGGGCCCCGAGGGGGCTACAATGGACAAGTTCCGGATGATCTTCCAGTTCCTGCAGTCCAACCAGGAGTCCTTCATGAATGGCATCTGCGGCATCATGGCGCTGGCCAGCGCCCAGATGTACTCCGCCTTCGACTTCAACTGCCCCTGCCTGCCGGGCTACAATGCTGCCTACAGTGCTGGCATCCTGCTGGCACCACCGCTGGTGCTCTTTCTGCTCGGCCTGGTCATGAACAACAACGTGTCCATGCTGGCCGAGGAGTGGAAGCGGCCCCCGGGCCGCCGGGCCAAGGACCCCGCCGTGCTGCGCTACATGTTCTGCTCCATGGCCCAGCGCGCCCTCATTGCGCCCGTCGTCTGGGTGGCTGTCACACTGCTCGATGGCAAGTGCTTCCTTTGTGCCTTCTGCACTGCCGTGCCGGTGACTGTGCTGGGCAACGGCAGCCTGGCGCCCGGCCTGCCTCCGCCTGAGCTCGCCCGCCTGCTTGCCCGGGTGCCCTGCCCCGAGATCTACGACGGTGACTGGCTGCTGGCCCGCGAGGTGGCCGTGCGCTACCTGCGCTGCATCTCCCAGGTGAGGGGGCCGGCGGCCTTGGGCTGGGTCTCCCCTCACAGGCCGGGGTCCCTCTAGAAATGGGGCATCCTCACGGCACAGTCACGTTTCCCCAAAAGACCAGGGCTGCCCAGACAAGGCTGGGTCTCCCCACTCAGACGGAGCTCTGTGGGGCAGGGGCATATTTTCCCAACTGCAGTCCAGGGCTTCTGAAGGCACAGCGGTGTGTCTTCCCTCAGATGAGTGCCACCTGGAGAGAGTGCTACGGCTACCTCGGTCCAGAGGCCTGTGCCCTGTCCTGAGGTTCCCAGAGAGGACCCCAAGGGCTCAGCCAGCCCCACCTCCTCCATCCTGAGCTCCAGCTCAGAAGCCCAGGGGAATTTGCATCCTTTTCCTCTTCCAGGTCTGGGCAGTGGTGAGGCCGGTGGGTGGCTGGGCCATTTGGGTACATTTCCCTGGCAAATGCCCCCAGCTGGCGCCGTCCTGCTAGGGGAGCAGGAGCTGAGGGTCTGGGTGGCCCTGGAAGGGAGGGCTTGAGTGAGGGGGATGCACTGCTGGGATGTGCCCTAAAGGCAGGGTTGGAGGGCCCATTGAGGGGAAATCCAGAGCTCGGGTCCTCCCCAGCCCCACTCCCACATCCTCTGCCCCTCTGGGCCCTCACTCCTCGCTCAGGCCTCCCCTATAGTCATTGCAGCAAGGGGAGACCGGCCCGGGCAGCATGCCCTTGCAGACCGTGGACCAGGACATGTCAGGGGAGGGGCAGGGGGCTGGGCCTGCCCTGCAAGAACTAGAGAAACATGTACACTCTGCTCAGGCAAGTCCAGACACCCAGGCGCCCCCTCTCCAACCCAGAACTCTCTCCTGGGAGGCCTGCATCACCGCCAGACGCTGCATGTGAGTCTCACACTCTGTGTCTGATCTGAACTCCACTCCCTCCAAAACCTGTACCTCCTCTCCCGTGGGCACCTATGCCATCGTCCCAGGCTCCGGGCCTGGGGCAGCTGTCCCTCTACCTGATCTTTAAACCATCACATCGTAAGCCAAAAGGGCCCCCAGTTGACAGGCTGCCTGGCCTATAGGCATGTTTCATTTGGCCTTCAGAGGTTGATTTTGAAATTCAATTTTAGAATTAGTTGGCATCATCTAAAAACCAGAAATTTTCACATAAAAATCAGACTTCCAGCTTTACCTGAAACACTGGGAAATCCAGCCCCACAGGGCCCACATTTCCTCGTTAAGAAGCATTGGAGGTGCCCCCCAAGACCAAGCACATGCTCTGCAGCTCCCCACTTGGTGTCTGTTCTGCCATTACCCACCAGCCCCCATTATTGGTGTTTGGGTTTGCTCCGTGTCCCCCATCCTGATCTGGCCAAACGCTTCTCTGTGCAGCTGGGGCTGGCCCTGAAGTGCAGGTTGGGGGAGCATCCTGTCCCCATCCCACAGTGAGTTATTGGTGGAACAGAGCTAGGACCCAAGTGTCCAGTGCTCTTTAGCACAGAGATTGAGTGATTGCCAGATTTGTCTCTGTGACCCCTGAGGGTGAAGCTCAGAGCTCACACAGAGAAGGTCCCATTTAGTGCTGGCGACTGAAAGGTAGACAATATCAAAGCCAAAGGAGAGGTACAGAACTCAGAGGAGGAAGGGTCACTATGGCCCAGAAGGTCAAGGAAGGCTTCCTGAGGGAAGAGGCATGGTCAATGAGGGCCCATTGGCATAATAATAACGGCTAACAGTTACTAAGCACTAACTATGTACCAGGCACTGTGCTACATTTATCACAGTTAGTCCTCACAACAACCCTATGGGAGAGATACTATCACTAGCCCCATTTTATGGGTGGGGAAACTGAGGCACAGAGAAGTCAGATACCTTGCTCCTAGCCAACTAGTAAGTAGTGGAGAAAGGATCAAAACCCAGGCAGCCTAATCCGGGGTCTGCCCAGTTAACTCCTGTGTGTTAAGTGCTAGGTCTACATGCAGGCCTTTTACTCACATGATCTTATTTCCATGAAATGGGTATATCTGTGCCCGTTTTATGGAAGAGTAAATGGAGGCCAAGAGGTGAAGTTACTTGCCCAGTTGGTACTCTTTTCCCTAAAGGCCCTGCCATCGAGAGTGCTTTGTGGGGTCTGGACAGGCTTAGGAGGCCAGAGGGCAGCGTCTGGCTGACTCTCTCTTCTCTCCCCTGCAGGCCCTGGGCTGGTCCTTCGTGCTGCTGACCACACTGCTTGCATTCATCGTGCGCTCTGTGCGGCCCTGCTTCACGCAGGCCGCCTTCCTCAAAAGCAAGTACTGGTCCCACTATATCGACATCGAGCGCAAGCTCTTTGATGAGACATGCACAGAGCATGCCAAAGCCTTCGCCAAGGTCTGTATCCAGCAGTTCTTTGAGGCCATGAACCATGACCTGGAGCTGGGTCATGCCCACGGGGCCCTGGCCACATCCCCTGCTAGCTCGGCTGCCCCGGCTACCGCCAACAGTGCTGAGGAGGAGAAGGAGAAGCTGCGTGGCATCACCGATCAAGGCACCATGAACAAGCTGCTCACGAGCTGGCACAAGTGCAAGCCGCCTCTGCGTCTGGGCCAGGAGGAGCTGCTGATGGGCAACGGCTGGGCTGCAGGGGGACCTCGGCCTCCACGCAAGGAGGTGGCCACCTACTTCAGCAAAGTGTGAGCCGTGGCCAGGTGAAGAGGCGGGAATGGGGGTCTGAGCCCACAGACCCTCAGACCCCCAAACCAGATGGAAAAATGAAGGCTGCAGGTGCTGGGCAGTAGGCCCCTGTGGGAGCAGACCCACAAGCCCAGGCATTCACCTGCCCATTTGAGGCCGGAAATTTGGAGCTGGAAGGGGACCTCCAGCTGTGCCACTGCCCTGGAAGGCCCTGGGGCAGCGGGGCCATGAGCAGTATTAGTCAGAGGGTTCAGACTTGGCTTGGAGGAGGCAAGCTCCCATCTGCCCAGCCCCTCCCAGGCCACTTCATCCTTGGTTGTCTATCTCCTCTCAGGTTCTACAGACATCCTTGCCCCAGTGTCCATTCTTGTCTGTGACTTTTTACTACCTCTATTCCCTTATGCTCAAGGGACTGGGAGGGCATCCAGCTATCTCATGAAGCAAGAATCCCTTGATTTTGGCCACTGTCCTGAGCTAGGCTGAGTGAGCGAAGGTGGGCCTAAGGACGTGACACCCAACCTTACCTGTTGGGATACGCCTGGGGTGACAGGTGATAAAACAAGATGCCAAAGGTTAGGTCCATTCAAGAGAAGCCAGCATGTGTGGTCACCATGGAGGCCACTCAACAATTGTCAAAGTGGACTACACATTTATTTAGGACCAAGCACAAAAAGCTTCCTGTCTTAGTCTGTTTGGGCTACTATAACAAAATGCCACAGACCCGGTGGGTTATAAACAACAACTTACTTCCCACCGTTCTGGAGGCTGGAAGTCCAAGATCAGGGTGCTGGCATGGTTGCATTCTGGTGAAGGCCCTCTTCCTGGTTTATAGGCGGTGCCTTCTCAGTGTCCTCACATGGCAGAAAGGGCTAGGGGTCTCTCTGGAGACTCTTTTATAAGTCACTAATCTCATTCATGAGGGCTCTGCCCTCACGACTTAAGCACCTCCCAAAGGCCCCACCTCCTAATATCATCACCTTTAGGGGTTAGGATTCAACATATGAATTTAGAGGGGACACATTCACACCATAGCACGTCTCATGGAAGGCTTCTGGAGCCCGCCTTGACACCCCGCTTCCATCCAGGTCTCAGGAGAAAATCAGACCATCTCTGGGACTTGAGCAGTTAGAAACAGGTCTTCCCATTTTCGCAAAGACCACACCCCCTGGGGAGGGAGCTCTAAAGTCTAAGAGGCTCTACCTTGAAGTGGAGATGAGGGTGGAAGGGGGTGAGGGGAGGTAGCTATGTGGAAACCGCTCAAGACTCCAGAGTGAGACAGAACTGGCTCAAATGCTGGCTCTACCACTTCCAAACTGTGTCTCTTGGGCCAGTTGCTTCCTTTTCTGTGCTTCAGTTTCCTCATCTGTACAATGGGGATGAGGGCACCTACCTCCTGGGGTAGTTGTGAGCATTAAATGAGTGAAGTGGATAAGCACATGGCCCATGCTGGGCACTCAGCACGTGGTGCTAACATGTTTGTGGATTTCTGGACTGAGGGCTTAACCTCCCCCTGCCCCTGGACATAAGAGGAGGGGGACATCAGGAAATGGAGCCCTTTGTCAAGGAGGAGGATACAGGGCCAAGAATATAGGTTTCTTGCCCCCTCAGATATCTTTGAGATGTAAGTCCCACTTTGCTAAGATTTCATTTTGATCTTGAGCCTTATAACGTTGTTTTAATAATTTCCATTCTTCCTTATGCACCCTTCCCTCTATTCCCACTTCTGAAATCCAGTCTCCCTCCTTTAATCATTTGTGAGGAGGACGAGCCCTGAAGGCCAAGGTGCACTAGAGGCTCCTCCAGGAGATGGGACTTTTTTGTGTGTGTGTGTGGTGAGGAAGATCAGCCCTGAGCTAACATCCATACCAATCCTCCTCTTTTTGCTGAGGAAGACTGGCCCTGAGCAAACATCTGTGCCCATCTTCCTCCACTTTACGTGGAGGAAGCCACAGCATGGCCTGGCAAGCGGTGCATCGGTGCGCGCCTGGGATCCGAACCCAGGCTGCCAGCAGCGGAGCGCGCGCACTTAACCACTACGTCACAGGGCTGGCCCCCAGGAGATGGGAGTTGATCTAGGCCCTGAGTGAGGGGGAAGATTCAGATGAGTAAGGGCCAGGTGTGTGTTGGTTGGGGGAGGCTTCCAGTGGGAAAAGACAGCCCAGAGGTATTGGGAGGTACAAATGTGAAGGAAAGAGTAAAGCTTTGGGTCAGGCAGACCTGGGTTCAAACACTAGAGCTGTAGGACCTGTGGCAAGTCACCCAATCCCTCTGAGCCTCAGTGTCTATCTATAAAATGGATATTAAAAGATATGCTTTTCAGGATTATGGTGAGGATAGAGGAGGATAACTTTTGAGGAAGAATCTGGAACAGTGTTCGGCACATTAGGTAGGATATGAAAAATAAACACTGGTCCTTTTCCTTCATACCACACATGGACAAGTCCAGCTCAGGGAGGCCACTCTGTCACTCAGCAGTTCCACTGTCATAGAACCACAAGCATTGCAGAGCTGACAGGGGTCTGGGAGGGTGGTCTCTCCCTTGATCCTAAGGGTCATCTAGCCTGTCCTTGCACAGGGTTACCCCTTTCAGCATTCTTAACCTGTGACTTTTCAGCCTCAGCTTGCACAATCCCACAGATGGGGAGCTCATGACCACTTTCTGGGACAGGCTGGGCAGCTCTGATCATTATAAAGGGCTTCTTCAGAAACCTGCCTCCTTGTAATTTCCACCCAACAGTTAGAGCTCTGCCCACAGGAGCTCAGAGAATCCCTAGACTCCAGAATTCACTCATCAGCCCTCCCAAGATCTGAAGCAGTATGAGGGGTGTTAGCTGAAGTATGGATAGAAGAGCCAGCAGGGTAGGGCCTGTCCAGTCAGTGGCCAGATGGCTCTGAGGGAGAAAGGCCAGAATAGGGTAGGGGGGCTCCTGGCCTTGTGTCTCCTGTTAGGAATCAGCATCGTGATGGCATCTCACCCCTAACCCTGCTGGGCTCTCGTTCTGGCAGCTTCTATCTGGTGGGAGTCAAGCAGGGGGTGCTCTTGAAAGTGGCCTGGAGGGCAGGCCCAGGCCAGATCTCCCGGAAGGCCCCCTGCCTGGCCCCTGAACTGGTCCAGCTGGTGCGGAGCACAGCAGGCCGTCCCAGGCAGCTCTGCTCAGGAAGGCTCAGAAGCCCCGACTTCCTCTCCTCTCGCACCGCCCTCGCCGCCCGCCCGCCTCTGCCTGGCGCCTGGGAGCTGTTTTCCATTCGCTGGCACTCACGTTCCATCCCGCTGTTTCCCCTTTTCCGGAGTTAAACTTTTCTGAAGACACCACCTACCCCAAGCCCTGCGGGTCCCAAGCGCCCTGCTCCTGGGCAGAAGCGGGAGGGAGCCCCCGCGGACGGCACAGCGGCGGCACTTCAGGCGGCCCGCCCTGAAAGCCGACGCCCCAGGGCTCCGATGTCTGCGCAGCTCTGAGAGCCCAGCCCGTGGAGGCCAAGGCCACTGGTGCCTGCAGCTGGCCCCAGGTAAGGAAGGGCCCCTCCCTGGGGTGTGCCAGGTGAGGCTGCCCAGAGGGATTGTGCGGGGGAGTGAGGCCTCTAGCTGAGGCCCCCCACTCTGGGCAGGGCCAGTCCTGCCCCCCTTCCCCGGGGCCTGTCTCCTGCTCTGTTGTTGGAGGAGGTCCCATCCCTGGCCTGGGGAACAGGGGCAGAAGTCTTAGAAGATGGCCTGGTCCCTCCTCTGCTCACCACCCACCAGTGTTCAGACATCTTGTACCCCACTTTGGGCGGTTTATGAATCCAGGGTCCCCATGGGGAGCTCATTAGGAGCCTTGAATCCAAAAGGGGAAGACAAAGAGGGAGAGGGGTTTCCCTTTGACCCATGCATCCTCAGCAATATTACAAACTCCCTTTCCCAGGGAGTTAGACTGGAGCCCCGGGGCTGTGAGCTGGGGAAAGAGTCAGATCCTTCCTCCTCCTCCAGCTCCTGGCACCCCACGTGGCCACCTGCTCTGCCCCGGCCCATCTGGCAGCCTTGGCAGAGACTGTGAGGGGTGGTGGTATAGAGAGGAGGCACAGAAGGAAATATGGGGAGGTCTCCCCACCTTCGTTTGCTGCCACCCCATCCCTCCACTTCCCTCTGTGGACTTTTGCTTTTCACCCACGGGATGGGGAAAAAGACATGGGGCCACACCCTGGCCTGTCTCTTGGCTTGTGTAGGTGGAGCCTGGGAAGGGAGTTGGGGCAGATCATGGCTGTAGCCTGAGGTCATGGCCACTTCCTGGCAGGCTGCCAGCACTGCTGCAGCCCAGGCCAAGGCAGAGCAGGCTCAAGATGGGCTGGTGGACACGGCCGAGCCTTAGCCTTCATCCAGGCTTCCTGTCGCTGGCAGGCTGGGCGCTCCCCAGGCCCAGGGCCCTGGGTGGAACAAGGCTGCTGGACAGGGAAGGAGTAATGGGTGGGGAAGAGGAGGTGCGCTAGGGCTCTCACAGATGGGGACAGAGCAAGGTCAGTAGGAGACCCAGAAAATGGAGGACTCAGTTTAACCCACCCGTGTCCACTTCCCAGGCCTCAGCTCGTGGTCAAAAGTCCTGCCCAGGCACCCCCATATTTGAATGGCCTCGAGCAGGGCACTTGATCCTCTTTAGGCCTTAGTGTCCTGATCTTTGCAGGAAAGAGAATCATCCCCGTCACCTCACCTCTGGGAGCCACCCTGAAGACTCGACAGGGTGAGAGATGGAGCTTTCACACGTAGGACAATTATCAGGCATCATTTATTCCCTTTCTTTTCCCTGCAGCATCCCTAAGAGGAGAGCAAGGACCAGAACGATTTATCCTCTTTTCACAGATGAGGACACTGAACTGAGACAAAAGTCATGAAGTATGTTGAGAGCCAGGATCTCCTAAACCAGCCCAGAGCCTGAGGCCTCCAAAATGAAAAGGTTCTTATAAACTCCAGGGATGCTGCCCCAGGCTCATCACTGACTCAAGGCCCCTTCCTCGACCCCACCCCACATCACAGGGTCAAGTCCAAGTCCCTTTTCCACTAGGATACCCACTCCAGCTTTTATACCCACAGGGCTAGAGGCCTTGAGGACATACCCTCCAAATAGTCCTAGGTCTCTCAGTATATCAGCACTACCTGGAATCCCCAAGGGAAAGCCAGTCAACATCCCACACTCCCCAATGCCACAGGGCCATTCCTAATCCCTGCCTCAAGGGAAGCTTGTGGTACTGACAAGAACCTAAGTGTCTGAGGGAGACAGACCTGAGCTTGAATCTCAGCTCTGTCACTTATATGCGACCCTGGCAAGCCACCCCCCTCCAGGAAGCCTCCACCTTCTCTATCTACACTAGGGATATGACAGCTCATATCCCTACAGTGTGGGATCCTGAGGATGGGCAACAAGGGATGTAAAGTGCCTGACACACAGTAGGAGCTCAGTGAACAGTGGCTACTGTCATTCCTCCCGGGCCTCAGGGCTTCCCGAGTCTCCTTCCTTTCTCACCAGCCAGGCCTCAATCCCTGTTTTCAGAGGCAAACATTTATCAGTCACCTACTGTTCCATAGGAAGCAGCAGGCCGGCCACTGTAGGGGATAAATGGCAAGACTGTGCCCTGCCTTCAGGTGCCCACCAGCCTGAGCTCCTTCCTAGTGCCACCAGGAACCATTGATCCCAGTCTCCTGCTGCCTCCACCCCTGCAGTCAGTCCCCCAGTCAACCTGTCACCATGGCAGCCCTGATTGCAGAAAACTTCCGCTTCCTATCGCTCTTCTTCAAGAGCAAGGATGTGATGATTTTCAACGGACTGGTGGCACTGGGCACAGTGGGCAGCCAGGAGCTGTTCACTGTGGTGGCTTTCCACTGCCCTTGCTCACCAGCCCGAAACTACCTGTACGGGCTGACAGCCATTGGTGTGCCTGCCCTGGCACTATTCCTCATCGGCGTCATCCTCAACAACCACACCTGGAACCTAGTTGCCGAGTGCCAGTACCGGAGGACCAAGAACTGCTCAGCTGCCCCCAACTTCCTCCTTCTAAGCTCCATCCTGGGCCGTGCGGCTGTGGCCCCTGTCACCTGGTCTGTCATCTCCCTGCTGCGCGGTGAGGCCTATGTCTGTGCTCTCAGCGAGTTCGTGGACCCCTCCTCACTCACGGCCGGGGAAGAGGGCTTCCCACCAGCCCACGCCACAGAAATCCTGGCCAGGTTCCCTTGTGGGGAGGGCCCTGCCAACCTGTCAGGCTTCCGGGAGGAGGTCAGCCGCAGACTCAAGTACGAGTCCCAGGTAAGGCTGTGTAAAGGGATGCTCCTTTTCTTTCTTGCCTAGGTGGCGGCTGGTGGGGACGTGCCAGCATGGCCCCATGTTAAAGCTGGAGTTGGTCCTCAGAGGCTGGGGTCTCCAGGAAAGCACTAGATTATCAGTGTCATGTATCAGAGCTGGCTAACTGTAGGTTAGTGCTTGGTGGGGCAAGGGTCAATTCCAGTCCCAAATAAGAGAGTTTTAAACATTAAAGGAACATTCTCCTGGCTTAGACTGATCCTTCATCCCAGTCACAGATTAAGCCCCTTATTCCAGCCAGATTGAGCATGAACCCCTGCAAGCTTTATGAAACGTCTGCTGTCAGCCATGAGTTGATAATGGAGTGTGGCTGGCTCTGGGGATGAGCTTGTTCCTATCCCAGGAAGGATAGGACTGAGTCACTGAGTCAGCCTCAAGTGTTGTTGACATAAGGGGAGTCCCTTGAGCCAGGAAGGGGAGTCAAGTCAGGAAGCAGCAGCTGCTGCCCCAATCCTAGCCTCAGCCTTGGCTTAGTTCGGAGGGAGCGGAGGTTGGCCAGGGGAGAGAGGGCAAGGGCAGCGACCGAGCAGAAGCAAAAAAACTGAGCTGGAAATGTTAACTTAGGGAAGCAGAGGGTGAGGGAGAGACAGGAAAGAGCGCAAGATTTTCTAAAAGGTCTCCTCTCAGGTGCATAAGAAACACAAGTAGACAGAGGAAGGGCTAGACACAGCACTGAAGGAGATGGAAGATGGTAGATGGAGACAAAAATTTTACTTGACGATGATCTGTACAGGATTGAATGGGGAAACAAAGATGACCCTGACTGCCCTAGCCCTCAATAGGCTCACACGCCAGCGAGCATTTGAGACGAGCCTATGAATGATTTCCAAAAAAGGCCGAGTGATGTGTAAGAGGAACCAGGCCATTGGGGACTCGGAGAAGGCAAGATTGCTCTCAGAGGGGCCTTTGAAGGCTTCCTGGAGGTGGCATCGGGGTTGAGCCTGCCAGTTTGAGCTGGATTTTGATGGGCTGAGATGATGTGGAGGGGGGCCCTTAGGGCTGAAGGAATGGCAGCAGAAAATGCAGGAGGCAAAGGCTAAGAACAGAGCAAGTGTGAGTTCAAGGGAGTGAGGACAAACAGGTGGAGTCACAGCCAGAAGGGCCCGCTTCCCTTACAGAAGCAGAATCTGCGGCCAGGTAAGTGCCAGAGCCAGCTGTCCGGGGGCTCTGAGGCCCAGGTTTGGCCCAGCCCACCCCTCCTGACCGGCTCCTTCTACTACTTCTTGGGGCGGGTGGGGGTCAGGCAGCTCCTTGCCCCTCCTCAACCCTGCCCCTTCTCTGGCCAGCTCTTCGGGTGGCTGCTCATCGGCGTGGTGGCCATCCTGGTGTTCCTGACCAAGTGCCTCAAGCATTACTGCTCGCCACTCAGCTATCGCCAGGAGGCCTACTGGGCACAGTACCGCGCCAACGAGGACCAGCTCTTCCAGCGCACGGCCGAGGCGCACTCGCGGGTGCTGGCTGCCAGCAACGTGCGCCGCTTCTTCGGCTTCGTGGCACTCAACAAAGACGATGAGGAGCTGGTTGCCAAGTTCCCAGTGGAAGGCACACAGCCTCGGCCACAGTGGAACGCCATCACCGGCGTCTATTTGTACCGTGAGAACCAGGGCCTCCCACTCTACAGCCGCCTGCACAAGTGGGCCCAGGGTCTGGCGGGCAATGGCACAGCCCCGGACAACGTAGAGATGGCCCTGCTTCCCTCCTAAGGGGCCTGTTCCCACACTCTTTGCAAATGACAGAACTTGGTCCCAAACTGAACCCCACTGCCAGCTCATATCAGCATCTGAAGATTTTTTTTTTTAACCATAGCTTTTTGGGGAAACAGGCCAGGAGAAAGGCACACAAGGTAACCTAGGGTGCGGAGGAGAGAGCTAGCAGACAACATAGTCAGCTCAGACAGGAAGGCTCTCAGACCTGAAGAAACCCCTCTACTGTTGCCACCAGTCACTTGGTCAACAGCTTTGGTGAAAAGACCCTTTCCCGGAACTGGTCCTTCGTTAACTACAATGTGGATGACCTTTTACTGGTGGGACTCCCAGGCTGGGAAGCCCTGCCAGCAGAGCCAGGTGACAATGAAACTCACCAGTAGGCTCCTTGTATAGGATATTGTGCAGTTAATTTGTGTGGAATTACATACAGACAGCTGCCTTCCAATGTATGCCTCTGGCTTTACTTTGTATACTTAAATTTTTGATAAAGGCTTTTCTTAGTATAAAGGACTATCTTGGTGTCTGCATGATTGGATAAGCCATGCCACAGCAGGCTGGTAGTCATGGGGACAGGCCCAAATCCTATCCCCTGTGGGAGGGAAGGGGACAGAGAGACTCCGGGCAAGACTAAAATGGACGGACGGGAGGGCAAGGGTGCAGGGAGAGCCAGGTGCTCCCTCCCACATGTGGGAAGGCCTTGGGGCTGATGATCCCTTGGCAACTGGATTCAGTCATCTGATTTGATCTGGGAGACAGACAGAGCCTGGCCTTTCTCAGAGGGAAGCTCAACTTAAATTTCATGAATTGGAAGATCCTACACTCAGTAGGGCAGACTAGCTCTTGTAACCTAGCGCTGTTGGTCATCAGACCAAGAACCAGGCCCGCCCTGGCTTCACCTCCCTCCCATGCCCGCCCTTGCCTGATCACCTCCACCACCTCTAAAACCTCTGAGGCTCTTCCCTGTCTCTGTCCTGCTTCCTGGCTTATGACTCAAGTCATTTCCCATGGAAAAGCTCTCCAGCCCTCAGGACATTTAAAGCTCTGCTAAAGAAAACGTTTAATTTTCTCAAGACCAAGTCAAAAAAGAACTGGCTTCAACAACTAGCTGGGTCTGTGCTGGCCTCCAAGAACTCTGGAACATACAGGATTATTACTTATCACAGGAGGCAGAGAGACTGTCTCTCTGGGAATTTTACCAGCGTCACAGGGAGGTGTGGGTGTGGTGGGCCCGTCAAGTCCCCTCTGCCTCAGGACTTAAGAACCACCACCAAGCCAGTTGATACCCTCTGCCCAGCAACCTCTCCCCAGAGGAGCTACAGAGAATCTGTGGGGCTCTCCCCAAAGCCACACAACACGGCAGTCTAGGTCCTCATTGAGCCTCCTCCCTGCCAGGCCCTGTGGCAGCACACAACATACAAGCTCTCCTTTAATCCAGAGAACAACCCTTCAAGGTGGGACTTTTTAACCCCATTTCACAAATGAGGCGCCCGATTTGGAGAGCCTGGGTACTCTGGCCCTGGTGGGCCTGAGAGGAGACATCACCAGGTGGTTTAAGCCAGTATCTGCGGCTTTCCTCTCAGGTGCCCAGGTTCTCCAATCTTCCTTTCTGGGCTCTGCCTCTAGAGTCCTCCTGTCCCAGTTTCATGGCCTCCCCAAAAGGGCACAAGGTACTAGCTGAGCTGAGGCGGAGGGAATGCCCAGAGACTCCAAGATCCAGGGGAGGAGGCCCACTCCCTGGACCCTGCTGACCCTCTCTGGCTGGACCAAGAGCCTCCTAGGGCCAAAGTGGGATCCCGACCACAAGATCGTCAGGAGTCAGCCCTCAGCTTTTCTGGGAGTCCAAGAGCCTGCTGCCTGCAACCACTGAGCAGCCCCAGAAAAGAAAAAGGAAGAAATAAATTGATACTTAAAACGAGCAAAAAGTAGTTATAAGAAATCTCAAACTCTTTTTTATCCTAACAGGATTACCCCAAGGGTACTGCAGAAAAAGCAGCACTTAAATAGAGTCCTCAGGCACCACAGGTTTTCGACTGCCCAGACGCCTGAGGTTCGGCTGGGCTGGCCCGCTGCTAACGGTGGCCATCCGGAGCCGGCCTGCCGCTAGTCCTCCAACACAGAGCTCTTAGCCTCCACGTATTCCAGGGCCTTCGTCTTCACTGCCTGCACGTCCTTCTCAGAGCCGTGCTGCTTCTCGTAGTCCAGGTAGCGCTTGAAGAAGAATTTCATTCGCTTGGGGGCCAGGCTCAGGTGAATGACCCGCTCGAAGATGTCCCTGTGAGGAAGAGCAGGGTAGCATTTGCCTCTTGGTCCCCGGACACACGATTCTGGGCAAGCCTTCCCCCACTTGCTCTCAGGCTCTGGACCAGGGCCCTCTGTTATCCAGCACTCCTCCTTCTATCTTTATTTTTATTACCTTCATAAACTCCCATCATGTGCAGGAGGAGAGAGACAACCCCACCCTCACTTTTCAGATGAGCAGACAGACACCCAGAGATATTAAAGGACTTACTGGCCTGAAGTCACATAATGAATCAGGACAAAGCTACTGGGATGGGGGCAAACAATTAGATATGGATCTGTGAGAAAAGCTCTGCTTAAAACTCAATGATGGGCTTGGGCAAGGCACTAGCTCTTTCTGGACCTCAGTCTACCCATCTCTAATCCTTCTCGCCTTGTGGGGATGCTGGTGGACAACAGTGGCATAAGGCCTGTGAACACTCTCTACAATGAGCCAGGCACAGTGTTAATTATGATGGAAACCCAAGTCTCCTGACTCCCAGGCCAAGGCCAGCCTGGTTCCAGACACAGACCCAAAGTTCTAGACACAGACCAGAGGCTGGCCCGAGGCAGAAAAAGAAGTTGGAAAAGTGAATGCCATAGGACCTGTTATGTCATGTCAAAGCTGTCTTTCCAGATAGAGTAAGAGAACTGGGGAGGCTGGGAGCTGCTGTGGGGCTAAAACTCATCAGCTTGGCCCATGTCCCTAACCCCCTCACAGGGAATTCAACCCTGGTCTGTCTTCCCCTCTCACCGGACTTCCTTCTGGCTGCCATGCTTGATGGCCATGTCAATGTAGACCGACCAGACATCCGTGCGCTTTGGGTAGGTGCTCAGCGTGTTCTCAAAAATGGCTTTGGCCCGCTCTGCATCCCCCAGCTGGAACTCAAGCTGGGCAAACTTGGCGATCACATCCACATCTGCAGGGAGAGGACACACAAAGCAGATAGACCTATCACCACAACACAACGTGCTGCAGGGACAGAGTCTGACTCATGACTCCCTGCTCTTGGGTCCCAAGATCTAGGTGCTGACAAGAGGGACAGGGTGAGTTTAGGACCAAACACACAGACGGGCACTGATCTATGACTCCAACTGCAGACACCCTACTCTCTGGGCACAGAAAGGGGGGACGGGCAGGGGCAACAGAATTAACGCTAATGGCTTTCTGTTCCTCCACCTTCGTAGTTTAGCATTTGAAATGCAAAATGCATTAAGTTCCTGAGCATATAATCAACAGAGAGAGAACTATGTACCCTCGTCAAGGCCTTCCTAATACCATCCTCAGATGAGAACACCCCCAATCCCCATGCCCACATATCAGAGAGCCTAACATGTTCAGGAATTGGGCCAGTAGGTGGGAATGAGCACTCACGCTCTTTATTAGGCAAGCACTCGAGGGCTCGCTGCATCACACGGTGACTGGCCCCAGCCTGGCCCCTCCGCAGAAGAAAGGCACCATATTTGATCCAGACAGTTTTTTCCTGCCGGAAACGCTTCAGCATCCGGTTGTAGAGTTCACCAGCTTCCTGTGGGAAAAACGAGGTAAGCTAAGAGAGTGTGATACGACACAGGGGGCAACAATAGAGATGTTAGCTACACTCATGGAAAGGTGGACATGGGCTCACAGACTCCAATCACTGTGTAGGCCCAATTCTAGATACCTGAGGGGAAAGGGCAGACTCACAAAGATGGGGAGACCACATGAGGAGGCCTAACACAACGGAGAGGCTCCCTACTAAGGAGGTCCTAAGACCAGAAGAGAGAATATGAGAATGACAAGAGGAAACAGGAGAGATGGAAAAGGGGACACTGGGCTGAGATGTCTGTTGCCTTCTGTCTATAACACCCCTGTCAGCAGCCCAAGGGATACACACCAGGGGTCCACTGTCCCTTCACTTCCCTCACCTTCACCCCTCATTCCTAAAGCAGAGGTTGGGAGAAATGACTTCCCCTACTTGGAAGATGAGCAAGTTAGGGCCCAGATGTCACAGAGCAAGCCTGGGGCAGGACTGGATCCAGAAAGCGGGGGTTCTTCCCTGATGCCTCTGTGACTCCCAGGAGTTAGTTTCCAAGCGGCTGAGGACCCTCCAGCAGCATGCCACCTGGCCCAGACTCCTACCTGGAATTTCTCTGACTTGCTGTAGATGTCAGCGAGATGGAGAAAGACCTTGAGAGGCTCATTGTACTGCACGGCCCGCTCGAAGACCTTGTTCAGTGACTCCTGAGAGCCGTACATGTTTTCTAGGTTCAGCAGTGCCACCCACACGTTCAGCTTCTCCTGCTCCTCTCTAGAGGGAGAGCAGGCAGCATGTGAGCTCCATCATCTCAGCCCAATGAACCCCCCACACTCATCTGGGGATGTCAACTGAAACTACTTCTTCCTTCCCAAGCTCCATCCCTGTCCTCAGTTCCCACACCAAGTGCAGGTACTGAGAGACCCTGTTCCCACTGCAGCTCACATAGAAGTAGGAACCCCGACCCCTCAACTGCCGGGTCTGGGGCTCCCCTGGTTTCTGCTTCCATTCCCAGGAAGGAAGCCTACCAAACCTTAAACTGGCCTGAGGGTAGGGCCGGAAGGAGCAGAATCTCTGGTCTGATTCTCTCCCCACACTAAGAAAATGAAGCAAAGGATCACCATTATTTTCACTAGCCTTCAGGAAACTCCTGCTACTCTCTGCCTGGAAAATGGCCAACTACAAGGTTTTCACCCAAGCGTGGGGAGAGATGTTTCCCTGTTCTACTTCTGCTCCAAGTTGGGCACCTTATTTAAGTGTAGGGACTCTTATAACTGTTACCCTTAGCTATT